AAGAAAGAAAGAAAGAAAGAAAGAAAGAAAGAAAGAAAGAAAGAAAGAAAGAAAGAAAGAAAGGAAGAAAGTTAAATATAAATTTCTGGTGTCCTTTCTCATCCAGTAGAGAATTGCATTATCTTCTCTTAGGAGCATTATTCCTAAGTATTCTTTTGTTCACCATTTATGGAGGAGGTATAATTAAACAGAAGAAGATATTATTCTGGGCTTCTCTTGGCTACTTCCTTACCTGTAGTTTGTGCTTTTGATAGGTGCCCAAGTGTAGGTTCTATGAACTTTATCAATGTATCTCTGTAGAATCAAAAAGGAATAAATGACTAAATATTGCTCATTACATTTGTGAAAAACATTCATTAGCTGATTTCAAAGATTTTTGGGCACATTTCATTCATCAAATAAGTGGTAAATAAACCAATATACACCACAATTAACATTAAAGAACTGGTGATCCTAGAGGCCTATATTCCAGATAATCTAATCAGTTCCATCTACTAACTTAGTTCTTGCATTCTAATATATTGGAGATTTCCATGAAGTCTTTTGAGATGGTCCTACTTACAAGGCATTTAATTGTTAAGATCACCAAAATCCAAAAAGACTCTGGGCAGCCTACAATAAGTCTAACACATAAATTAAAAATCTGCATGGCGGTTTGGACTAAAACAGCACTCCCAACATTCATAAAAGACTCTACAGGGTCTCAACCCTAACCCCAGGCTTGGGAACAGAGCAGGTCTTAAGAGACTTGTGGAACCCTTGGAGTGGGAGCTGTGTGTATCTCCAGAGGGATACTGTTTCAGAGGGCAGAGGCTGCAACAGAGAAAGCATGCTTCCTTGCTCCAAAGTTGACAACATTTAATTGAAGGGACCTGGAGCACACCCATTCTGCCTGAACCCACTGGATGGCCGAAACAACTGAAGACAGGCTGTCCCTCAAATAATCAGGCCCTATATCATGAAGGGCTTTATAGATGACCAGCACCTTAAATTGTGCCTGGAAGTCAACTGGTAACTAATGCAGCTTGTGTAGCAGTGATGAGACATGGCCATAACATGTGCAGGGGCATAACATGGGCCCATTACTGCCTGTGCTGCTGCATTTTGATCCAGCTGTAGCTTCCTGATGGTCTTCAAGGGCAGTCCCATTGTAGATAACTATGCAGGATAAAGGCGCCCAGTGATTACCTCTTGAGAAGTGACCACCCCCTCTCTCAAAGAGGCCAATACCATTGCATGAACCCACTGCTTTAACAACCCAGGAGGGGCCTGTGTCTCACAGACAGGTGGCTGAACTTACAGTACAGAGGATCTTGTCCACTTCATCAGGAGTCATAGAATCAAACTCAGTCCAGATAACATGAAAAGACTGTGCCCCAGAAACTCACTTGGACCTGCCCAGCCGGAGTCCAACTCTGAGTGAATCCAAGCAACTTTATTTATTTTTATTTATTTATATATCACATTTATATAGCCGCCCATCTCACACAAAGCCAGTCTGGTGACTTTATCCTCCAGATAGCATGAATACTCCTCCTCAAGGCCCTGTAACCTGTCCCTCCCAAGCAAGGGATGTCACCTTAAACAGGACTGCAGGATGGCTATTGAAGGATGCAATATTGGTAGAGAAATAACAATGTTTTGTTGCCCTTATTGCCATGAGGTAGGCCTGAATATGGGCTTTTATTTGTGTTCAGTCAGATTCACTCTTTGTTTTCCTCCAATGGCACTCCAAGCATTGCTCCTTGTGCTTTATTTCCTGGAGCTCGTCAGAAAACTAGAGTGCACCCTGGGATCAGCGCATAAAGACAGGCCACGTAGGAGCAATCTGGTCCAAAGCCTTGGTCACCCACCTGTTCTAGGCTGCAACCAAGGCCTCAGCTGAACTGCCCACCAGGTCCTCAGGGAAAAACCAAACTCCCTCGGGAACCCCAACAAGGTCCATCAGTTAAGTGGGGCAGACTGATTGAACAGGCTCCATCTCCCTGCGGCAGTGGATGGCACCACTGAGCTGAAGGAGAGCCAGAGAGTGATTTGTCCACAGCAATGGATTGATGGCAATATCCTCCAACACTAGATCACATCAGAACTGCCCTAACAGATGTGTAACCCCCACTCCCCCAGTATTACTTGGGACAGTTTCATGGTTGCCATGGAAGCCATGAATTCCTGAGCTGCCCCAGACTCAATGACCCCAGGAGGGAGGTTAAAGCCCTGAAAACCAGTAGCCTTGGGACTCCACTGCCAATTCAGCAATGGAATCCAGCAGGTCAAGCAGGGATGATGCTGCACAGCAAGGAGGAAGGTACAGCAGCAACTATCCCAACTGTTCCTACAGGCCCACTTTAGCCAGAGGGTCTCACATCCAGTTATCTGCAGAGCCGAGCCTCTGAGAGCCTTTAATGACTCATGGACAACAGTATCTATCCCAGCCCCCTCCCCCAGGGTCTTGTCTGATGTACAACCAAAACCCAAGTGGATACATTTCCAAGAGTAGAACATCCCCTCTGGGTCCACCCAGGTCTTGGTCATGCATGCCAGGTTGGCGTCCTCCTCCACAATCATATAATGGATGAGGGCACCTTTATTATACACTGACCTGGCATTCAGCAGGAACAGCCAGAGCCCAGAACCACAAAGGATCAGGTCCAGAGGGCAACATGTTGGGATCACTCTCAAACGGCGCTCCTGGCATACTCGAGTGCAGCCCACCCTCAGATTTCCACCGTATCTCCCTTTGCCTGTGAGAGTTTCAATAAGCCACTTGCCCCCTCTTCTCCCCCCTCTCCCCACATCCCTGGTTCCACTGTCCCGGGTGCTGCATTGTAGTAGTCTAGACTCTTCTCCCTGAGGAAACAGTTTGAACAAGGTTTTGCTTCCATGCCATTTTTACCACCACTGAATACACTCAACAAGGAGCTCATATTGTCACTGGAGTCACAGTAACTCTTTGAACACCAGAGTTCCAACCAGCTGTCTAATTGGTTCAGATGAAAGGAGCAGACGAAGCTCTAGTAAACAGAAGAGGGTAATCAGAAGCGATCATGCCAACCATCTGAACGATCTCCAGGTCCCCTTAGGCAGGTTGAGCAACCTGGCCACATGCAGCACACTAACTCTGTCCATGTGGCTCCAAAGCATCCCAAGATGATGCCTCTTTCTAGCCCTGCTGTATTGCTGAGAGTCAGAAGACAAATGCAAAGATCTCAGTTTGAATCACTGTATCTTCAGATAAAAGAATCTGTCACATCATGAGGAAGGCCTCTGCTCGTGACCTTATAAAATCATTCACAAGAGGGACAGAATAAAAAAATACTGGGCCAAATGGAATAATGAATTAACTCCATAGAAGACATTTTCGTATACTTTCATGAAGTATTTTTCATACCCTAGCTATCAGAACCTGTTCCAACAGAGTACCATTCTTTTAAAAATGTGGCAACTCAGACTCAAAGTCCAATGTATTTACCTCATCAAGGGATTTTATCAGAGTCCTAATATATTGTTGATCTTTATTTCCATCTATCATGCTTCGGCGAATCTAAAGCGTGAGAGAACAGAAAAGCATATGAAGTGGGGTGGGGAGGTATATCAGTGATATCACATGGGAACTGGACTTACAGTTACCCTTTTTAACTCTTCCATTCAAATCCCAAGAAAACCTGTTAACAGGATAGGATTTGTACTCATGCATGATTCATATTATGGTATAAATGCACGTATATGCAGTTTACTGTACAGAAGTGTAAGAAATTGATTATGCAGGTATACGTGAAGAAATTACTCCAAGTTGCCATTGCCGTTACTGCAAAAATCCTGTTTTGACAATATAGCCAAGTTTGCCAAAGAAAATCTGATTTCCAAGATCAGAGCATTTGTAAATGTAAACATGGCAGAATCTTACTTTTCTGCAGTGAGAAAAGATGGCTACAATGCCATTAGAATAGTCTTTGTTTGTTTTTTAAAAATAATTTTATCATAGTTTATTGTTGCTTTTGGAGCATTTATATTTTTAGTTTTTGATTTTTGGGCTGTTGTAGGCTACTTTGTTGGCTCCTTAGCAGAAAGACTATATAAACATGAATAAAAATTAAAAAATATGCAATTACTGTATGCACTTATTTGCCTCAGATAAAGTAGAGTTGATCTATAGTTATCACTTACCCTTTCTTTGTTCTCATCCTCTAGTTCAGCATCAAGGAAATCCAGGGTTACAGGTTCCTGAAAATTGATGATCTGAAAGAACAACCCAAAAGTGATGGTGTGTGTGTGTGTGTATTAGATGAGAATCTATTGTCCTGTTCACAGTAAGCATGTCAAAACAATCCTTGTTCTATGCCTTGTCAGAGTATTTTTTTGCCTTTGAGTCAGTGTTGACTCCTGGTGACTGCCTTGACAAGTCCCTGGCGTTTTCTTGGCATGATTTCAGAAGTGATTTGCCCTGGCCTGCTTCCTAGGGCTGAGAGAGAGTGACTGGCCCAATGTCACCCAGCTGGCTTCATGCCTAAGGTGGAACTAGAGTATAGGTAATATAAAAGCTGTTATAGATTATGATTAATTATAGATGCTGGCAGTTCCTTACTGAAACATTTTATACAAAATCAAAATATATTCTGTTGAGGGCAAACAGAATACTTACATATACAGACACATACAAGGAACTCAGTGTTAGGGACTGTAACTAGAAGGAATGTTTTATTTGTAAAATTAACGATTTTGCTGTAGGACACTTAGAACGCCTTCAGAGATAGGGCAAGTATCTAAAGTAGTAGAGATACCTACATTAAAACAATATATCAACAATATAACCTAACCTAAATCTCTCCTTGTCTGTGTTGGATCATATGTTCCTAGTAGTCTGCCTAATGTCTGTTGATTTGCCAGGGTAGAAATGATGTGAAGAATGGATGACTAAATGCATGATGTCTTGTAAGGACCAGGTCAGAGCACCCAACTGAAGATCAGACTGTTTCATTATAACAACAATGCACAGATGTTAACTGCTCCCCCCACCCAAAGATATGCGGCTCTCAGCCCATTATGCCACACCGGCAGACAAAAGAGGCACAAAAATTGAACCTTGCTTTTACTATAAATAGGGCTTGTAGCTCATACCTGACAGTTGCCAGATTTCTTCTTTACCACATTTCTAGGCTTTTCAATCAACAAGCTTATCAAGAGCTGCATCCCTGAATCACTGTGAGACTTCTAGAAGCCTGTTATGTATATTCTTTACCAAGTTATTCACTGGATAACTGGTGGTATGTTAACAAGAAATTTTGTCTCAAGGCTTCTATGACAGGGAGTCACACTCCAAGTATTGGAAACCTCTCTGTATAGCTTGATCAGTCTGGAATGTAACAGAAAGCTACAGACTCCGAATCTGAAACTGTTTCTGGGCCTACCACAATATATGGCAGGAATGAGGGGGATCAGTGATTGTTTCACAAGTATCTGCTTAGAAAAGGTCTGTGTCAGCCCCACTAGATAAACCCAACCAGGAAATCAAATCCATAGGAAGGCTGAAACTACTTTTATTTAGATTGGCTATAATAACACAATCTTGCAAGTCTGCTGTATCTCCTCCTTTTAATATTCCAGTGAATTAAGGAGACATCTGCCTGAGCCACTTGTGAATGTTATTTCATTGTTCTGGACTTAAAAAATGTTTCAGCCCCTTTTGCCTAAGTAATGGTTCCTGCATATTTCCATCAAGGTAATCTTTCTTACTCTCTACAGTCTGTTTTGAACATGTGGTTTAAGTGTAAGTCTACTGATGAATATGCATGCCCGAAGAATCTAAAAGTGTGATTGATTTGAGTGTTGATAATGAAAGATTGAGGGAAATAGCGAAGAATGCAACAGCAATAAATTTCTTCACCATTTTTTAGATGTGTCCAAAGTGAATCTTGGGAAAAAACTCATGAAAGACAAGGAAAGAAGTGAAAACTAGAAGTAGAATTATTGCAGAAAGATTTGTATGGCAATGATAATGATATGTCAAAGAGTGGAACTGAACTGAATGCTAATGGTGTCCAAGAAAACATGATGAAAAGGAAATCATAAATGTGGGAATATTAAAAAATGGCAAGTTTGTAGGTATAAATAGCATTAATGGAAAAATGTTAAAATTGTTAGCCTCCCACGTAGACCAGACAGGAAACATGATCAGATGAACTAATTCTACTTTATTGTAAGGGTATGTTAACCTAATCTTGCAAGTCTAAAAGTACAAATCTCCCACTGTCTCTTTTTACTGGCTGAAAGTTAGGGCGAATCCTTTCTAAGTTTCGGGCTCCTCTTCCTTTTGTCTGATCATTCCCTAGGCAGCATCTCTTCCCCCAGTCTTCAAGGTCATTTTCACATTCCATTACAAAATATGGATGTGCTGTGCTTATGGAATGATTGCACAACTTGTTTAATGTCTGTATGAAGTTTGCATCTGTGCTTGCAAGAATGCCATTATTGTTTCCTTATAGAAAGGGAAAGCTGAAAAGACAGAAAGAAAAAAACCCAAGAGTTTCTGGAAAGGTGTTCAGCGGAATTCCAATTGAAAGGATATGACAGGTGACAAGACAAATTTGGGAAACACACTATGGCTTTAGGGTGTGTGCAGAATCAATTTTACTCTTCAGCAGGTCACTTAAGAAATGCATGAATTTGAGTGAGAAAGTACATTGTACTTTTATTGATTTAGAGAAAGCATATGATAAAGTGAATAGACTGGTTTATGTTACATACAAGTTGGGAGTTGACAGTTGTTTGTGGAAAGTGCTAGAAGTGGTGTGTGGTGGAAGTAAAATGCACAAGAATAAATGCAAATAGTTCATCAGTGAGCAGAGAGTAAGAGAAGGATATATTGTATAATTTCTGTTTGGGTAATGTATTTATGGGCAAATGCTTGCAATGACATTAGAAGTGTGTTAGTTGGAGATGTGAATGCGTGTGAACTTTTGTATAAAGATGTTGTATTCTTGGCTGAGTACTTGCATTATTTACCAGGAACATTAGACAGATTGTATGATGTAACATGAAGCATGGATCTGAAAATAATTGTGTAGTTATGTTACTGGGGAAAATGGAGTGAATGATTGTAAGTTATACACACATCATGAAAAACTAGAGCAAGTAGATGAATTTATGTATTATGATAGAATAATTAATGATGACAGGAAAATGGAGAAATGTTAAGACATGAAAATGCTGATTGATAGTATGTGCATCTGCCTACTTTGCTATATGAAAATGAGAACTGGTATGTCTAGAGAAACATAAAAGTAATTTGAATGTAATGGGAAGGGGTTATTAAGAAGTATGTACAGTAAAACAAGAAGAAATAAGGTCAATAATAGATTGGTGTTATGTTCTTCTCTGAAGCCAAGACTGAGGCTAAAGAAGTAGACTAAATGGACTGTCAGCCTGGGGAGCTGAAGCAACTCCCACAGACAACAAACAAGCAGGTTGGGCTAACTGAGATAATGAAGTGCCTAAGCCTGATACGATGTCAAGTCCAAGAACACACTGGCAGCTTATGAGGAGCATAGCAGATGCAAACAACTCATCTCCTCAAGAGGAGAAGACAGCAACTTTCCTAATGAAGCCATGCCAGGAACTGGGACTTTCTCCTCTTCGTTGGAAACAACCCTCTGGCTTCAGACCTATGTTCTGTGGCATCCTGATCCAAGTTCCTCAAGCTTCTTGTCCTGCTTCTGAATGCCTGGGCTGACTCTTGGACTGTTTGCAAAACTCTCTGGGTCTCTGTGAGAAGTTTAAGGAGCAAAAGAAAATGTATGAAGTGGTATACGGGCATAGTAGAAACAAGGATGATTTGCAAGGTTAAAAAGATACGGAGAATATATGGTGAGTGGTGTTGGTATATGCTAGATTTAGTCAGATTTTTTCTTTTTCTTTTGTCTCCAGTCTTCAATTTATTTTGCTTTCTACTTATTCTGAAAGGGAATAACCTACTGAATATGTATGCATGTTCATATCTTGTAAGCTGGAAGGAAGGTGGAAGCATATAATTTTAAAATTAAAAAAAAAAACTTCTGAGTTTGTCAGAAAGAATACATATGACTAAGGAAAACCTGGCTAGAATCTATTCCATTTTGTACATAGCTAACTAGTTTGTTGTAATCCAAGATATTAAGATAGCACTTTGTAGGATGCATTATACCAAGATGTCAAAGAAAAGACTGCTTTGATCAGAACATGGCTTGAAAGTTCCAAACCAAATTTTGGTGTACTAAACATTCTTCAGGTATAAATGTGATCTGATTTCAAAGTAGGTGTCAGGCCCAGTCCAAGAACAACAGGGAAACAGTTTATCCAAATTCAGTTCTTTTATTGCTTACACCAAATAGACAGAATTTTGCCAGACTAAATCTGTACTACTGCAACTAGTGGCTATATCCTGGGAGATTCTAGGGAGTGGCTATTCTAAATCTTTTACACTTCCCATGCTCCTGCTCTGGACTGTGCTGTCTCTTGTCTTTGCCCTTCCTGGAATGTGCCCCCTCCTTCCTGAGAACCTTGCTCTTTACTGCAATCCACCATATCAGGAAAAAATACAAAAATGAAACAGGGCATTGATGGTGTGAAATCAGGATGGAATTCTAGCACAAGACCGGGATAAAATTTTACCAGTCACTTTTCAATCTTTACTCCATCAAATGTAAGTCTTAATGACATTTGGATCAATTAATTAATTGATGAAATTAATGAAGAAAACAAGAGCTTGTCACTGTTGTTCTGATGTATTCAAAACCAATTCAATCCACAAGTGTCCAGAAATATATATTTTATTAATATGCCAAGAGAATGTCTTTTATCTAGAGTTGAAAGAGAATAAGGTTACTTCTTAAAGAGAGGCACTTCTATGAAAGTTGGTTGGATTCAGGCCAGACACAGAAAATACAGGGAATTATGGCTGTTTCTTGGGGGATTTCACTGTGCTGAGTAATTTAAACTGTTATTGATCAGAATCGCAGTGAAGTAACTAAATAAATTGTTGTGGTTTCTGTCCATCTCTGTCACATTGTCTGCCTATTAATAAGGCTGATGAACTGAGCTGGAAATTTCTGCCAATGAAATGTATCTCATTCTGATCAATGCCACTTTTCAATTCCCTAATTTCTGGCTGCCCTTTTAATGACAGATTTATCTGACTAGTATCTAAGCTAGAAGCCTGTTCTTTTTGCTCCATCCTGATGAATGCAGAACTTCTCCTGAGATAAATTAGCCTAGGGCTTTCATCCACTCCTTTTCTTTTGGTTAATATCCTGAGCAAGTAATATTTCATAAAGGGATCCAGCTAATTCTTTCCTATACCTGCTAAGAAAGAGAAATACATGTATCATATTGTCAAGATGTGCCAATTAGTGCTTTGTGACTCTCAGGACCATCATTTTCTCTTTCCCATTAAGCACATGAGCTGAGCATATTTGCCCACAGCAAATGAGTCCCACCACTGAAACCCCAAACAATTATTCAAATCCCAAACATCTGAGTTTCACACTGCCCAGTGTCCTCAGTCATCATCAGTACCACTAAGTCAGAACAACCATTTCTATAAAGACAAAGGGAAGGACTAACTGAAGTTGCAGTTGTGATCAACTGGCTATTGTCATTTATATGTAATATGCATATTGTCAGATACCATGGAACATGAACTGGAGACCCTGCAATCAGGGATGGCTTCTATACTTCCTAAGCCAGTGAAACACTATAATTCTGCTATGAGAACAGATGAGCCAGTTATTCTGCTGTTCCTGCTTAACGTATAGTCTGAGATCTGCTATCTTCTCTCAATTTGTTGCTGAGGGAGTTGACCAGGCCCTCCCTGTCTGTTCACTTGCAACATGTGAAGTAGCCACCCTTTCAAGGAGCATGTTTAGCATATGCTGCAGTGGCTGAGTCACATCTGACACTCATGAGCAAATGGTAGAGACGCTACTTTTATCATTTGGTCTTATGCATATCTTCACATTTAACCAAGTTAAATTGAGCTCAGTCCCTGGAAGTATCTACAAGATTATAGCCTCAACATTCCACTTTTTGAAAAAGGGATGAATTACATATTTTGATGTTAATAGGCATTGCAATGCATTTTGCACTTAATAATTAAATCTTTTTTGAGGCAATGACACCATACTTGGGCTTTGTGCAGGAGACTCCATGCCAAACGCTGACTGGGCAAGGATTCCTAGAAGGGCAAGGCTAACTCCAAAGAGTGACGAGGGCCAAGGCAAACATTTTATATACAACCCTCTCCCTCCACCCCCCCCCAAAGTAGCTAAGCAATAAACCAAGAAATCCCACAAACTTTAAAGTGCTGAAAATGTTAAGCCTTGTAAAAGGATTAAAAGTGTGAAAGCAAGCAAAAGTTCCCCACCACTTTTTTTCTTTGTGCAGCAAACTCTGCTGCCAGATTTGGTGATGGGATTTCAAGGCTGCACGAAAACCATCCCAAGGGTTGCAAATGCAACCTATGAGTGATTTTGGCCATCTTTGTTTAGAGACAGGCTTTGCAAGTCTGTTCTACTATTGTGATTTGCAATTTGGTGGAAGAAAAGCTTGCACACCTGACTAGATTAGAGAAAAAAGTGCTGCAGGAAGGCTGAAACCTAAGGATCTAGGGATGTAAAGGAATGGACATCAAGAAGGCGGAGAACCAAAGAGACAGATTGGAGGGCATGAGGGGAGAGTTCACAAAGTCTCCGAGAAGGGAAAGACTATTACGTTTAATTCATTAAAAAGCCAGAGAACTTATGAGTGCTACATTTCACATATCCATTATAAACAATTATGCCAAGCTTTGACTATTAGTCAATAATAAGGGTATACCACTATATATTCTACAGGACAGGAGTACTGATACTTTCAATTGACAAGTTCACTTTCTGGCTAGATGGTGGCATATGGAGATCAATCTGTGACTCAGTGGTGGCTAAAATGTGAATGGTGCACTTGTTTGTGACAGCTGTTTGCATACGCTTTCAGTCTAATGGCAAATTGCCACCATTAACATTTCCACCCAACTCATTAATTCCTATCCAGGCAGCATGAGATAGCCACCTTTAGACAGGCATATTCAGTATCCACATAATAGCAAGAACATCTTTCCAGGGAAAATGAAAGAGGGCAGGCTTTTTGCAGTAAGTTTGAAAAAAATGGAAATTCACATCATGATAAAAAATGGAGACAGAGCAAAAATTGCCTTTCTCACATTATGCCTATTTTGTGGTTGTTGCTAACAGGATGGAATAAGAGACTATATTTTTTGGTGATGATTTTGAATGTACATCCATATGCACAAAATTGTCCTTACCGGAGGTCGCAGGTTTGGATGTAGCAATACATATCCATTCAGGTCAATAGCGAACACGTAGCCATTAGCCCCCAACTGGATGGAAAGACAAAAAAGAAAGGAAAATCCTCCTGAAGTGAAACAGATTACATCTCAAAGGGAGAGAGCAGAGTGGCATCCAAGCTCCTCTGCTGTGATCCTCTGCGCTGCCTCCTGCTTCTCTAATACCCAACCCAAGCAGGGAATAAAGGTCCACCACATTTTCTAAATTAAAGGAGAGGATTTCAGTTCTCCTCAGTGACCGTCACCAAAAGGATGAAAGGTGGTTTGGAGCTGAAGTAAAGAATTTAGGGAGGACGGTCCTAAGAAAACTCATATCCCTCTTCCTATCCTGCTTGCTCTCTTAGATGACTGAGTCTGAGGAAAATAACATCTTCCCTACTCACATTGTACCGTGGCGTCAGCTTCTTGATATCGTTTACAGCCACATCAATCCCCACAACACCCAGGATGAGCTGGTTCTGGAAATGCATAAATAAAAAAGACAGTTTCATTCATCTGAAATTGTGCAAGTCAGGAGCAATTCACTAGTGATGCAGACTCTATTGATTTCTACTGTTCTTGTCTAAGGCAGTCCTTGCCACTCTTTGAGCAGTCCTGACAGGGGAATTTCAGGAGTTTTAATCAACACATCTGGAGGTCACTGAGTTGGAGAAGGCTGGTAGTCTAAAGAGGGTAGTGTATGTCATGCTACTCCCTCCACAGAATTTATTAGTATAGTCAGTATATACATATCAATTTATATACTTTTATATTTAAGTTGCTCAAAAACTAGAGGTGGAAAATACATAAATAAATGGAAATATCAACATGTTTTCACACATTGAATTTTGCTCCAGTATGTGGGGGACGATGCATCAATTTCCTGAAAGGGGCTGGATGTAGGATGAGCTGTGAGCAGACAAGGAATAGATTTCCACAACCCCCTTCTTACAGCAAGGGAAAATGTAAAACCGCACAAATGGAGTGTCTGTCAGTTTCAACGTTGAATAGAAGTTGGAGAACACAGCACCAAAATGAAACCTAGGATAGCTCAACCATGAATGTGCTTTGTCAAACTGGTGCTTGGAGTGGCCTCATGACCCCAGTTGACTTGGCAGCCCAGCTCAGAATAAGGGCATGGCTCCCTTGAGAGAAATCCAAGTGCTAAGGGCCCTGGTGCACCCCACTCCAACTTTACACCTATCCTCCAGTACACATCTGAATTTTATGTTCTTCACAAATGTAGGAACGTTATGTCATAGCATTTTACTGTGTGCATAAGCACTTTTAAGAATATTAATTTAAACATGTCACCTGAATCTATGTCATAATTTTTCTGTATATCAGTTATTAGTGGCATCCCAGAAATCTCTGGAGTCAGATTTTTTCTTCTAATATTCCAGCAATTCTGAAAGGCTGTACATATACTTAAACAATATCCAGTGAAAGTAAATTGGAGGAGCAGAATATTAATGCTTGCAGCAACACTCCGTGCCCCCACACCTCTACAAAGGGCACATATACTGTACTTTTGGTCAGTGTCAAATACATACAGAAACAAGGAAAACCATTGCCTTGTGTGCTATGGTCAAACTGAATGAATTGTACCAATAGAAGAGAATATTATATAATAGAAAGAATATTATGTAATATTATATAGTACAATGTTATATACTATTATAGAATATTATATAATAGAATGAATTGTATACTTTGGCCCTTGGCAGAGGCACTGTGGGTTACACCTCTTCCATTCCACTCAGGATAACATAGGGTGGTTGTTACAGGCAAGTCCAGACAACTACTATTGCTCTGTAGTGTGGCTGAAATCTCTCTTGGACTATGTACATAAGTTGACTTACTTTTCTAACCCTAGTAGTGAAGAGCCTGCTCCCAAAGTAACAGATTATGGAATTGTCAGCTGTCGATTGGCATCTTTCCTTTGTTACTGTATATGCTGATTATATCAAATTCTTGAAGATTAAATACAATATTAAACTAAAATCTCCATTGTGTGTATTGTGCGACAAAGGAGACAGATCATTTTTTGAATTAATTTTTATTCAAGAAATTTTTTACAGAATAAAAACTACAAATTTAAGAAAAAGGAAAGTAAAAGTAAAAAAGTAAAAGAACAGTATTAAGTAAATAAGAAAGAAAAGGACAGAAAAGAAAGAGAAAGAAAAGATATAAAGTGGCTTCTGATCTTCTTTACAGTAGTTATAAATGCATTTATATTTTGTCCTCTCTCTTTAAAGTTACACTGTGGAAAAAGGAGATAGATCCTGATGTTTAAGAATACCAGATGCCTGAAGAAGCTGGGGGAGATTGTTGCATCCCCTGCCTATATGAACAGTGATGGAAATGCCTAATTGAACCTACCAATATCAATATCCATCAGTAATATTCCACCGGAGACTTGCATGTCAGAGCCAGAGAAAACTGCAGTCTGGAACTGAATTCCTTACCCGCACTGTTCAACCTTTAAGTGATACAAGTAGCCAGGCTTGGCATGGTTTAAAGAACAACTTGTAAGTCAAGTTCAGAAAGGATATCTGATTCTCAGCATTGTGCTTTAACATTTTGCACCAAGGTTTTCTGAGCTATGGCATAAAACAAGCTAATCTTGGGAGCTATACAATAGTATTGGGGGAACCAGGGCCTTTCCAATGACTGATGAAAGCCCGGAGCCAGCCTGTACTGGGTTCTTCTAAAGAAAAGTAATTTTTTTTCTTAAATAGACACCTGCAAGAAGCCACTGTATCAACGACTAAATGGCGCAGCATGAGATGATCATTGCAGTGGAGCTGCCATGCTGCTTTATGAGGCCATAACCAGGCTCCCTGGAGAATAAATGGCTTGGTCTTTGGCCTTGTCACTTACCTAGTTGGGAAACAGATCATTGCCTGCTTAAAAGCAAGCTGACATAGAATGCCATGGCAGGTCTATTACTGCTAATAAATCTAAACAAGTACGGATGCAGGAGCACAAGGTAGATGAGACAGATTTTTGCAGACATGCTGTGAATCTACCCACTGGGGAGAAAAAGAAATGTGTGATCTACTTAGTGGCACTTGTTTGTCTTGCCATATGAGGTGAGAAAATATATTGACACCAACTTCCATTTGTCCTATCCTGGATATCCAATGATAAGAGATGACAGGAGTTGCAGTCTGATAACATAGATAGCCACATGTTGATCACCCCCGCACTAGGCCTTAGCCTTACATATCTCATAATTAATTCGAGTCCAGGTATATTTTAAGACATCATTATGTCCTCTCTGTAATATTGGCATAGCTTTCTGAAGAGAGCCTGAACTGGATGCCACAGCAGAGGAGATCCAATAGAATAGGCATAACTCATCACTCATGAAACATATCCTAAAAATGTATAACCACAATTCATTATTTCAACAATTCACTATAAGTTTGATATACTTAAGGAATCTCTCCTATTTCAATAATAAATAATTTTGTTTTTCCTCTCAATAAACAAAATGCATGTCATGCCAAGCATATTCTAAGGAGCATCTCAAACAGTTCAACTTCAGTTCAGTACAAATTCAGTAAATACGATTAAACTCTCCCATTTTAATAAAAAACTTCAGCTTAAGTTAGTGGTGAAATAACTCTGTTCAGTAAATTGCTTGTATTCTAAAACCATGTTTATCAAATGTATGGAGTCATTGAGACATTTGTCAGAAAAGGTTTGGTGTGAAAGGATAATTTAGTTTACCAGCAATGTAAGCTGAAGTTATGTATGAATGAAATAGGAGAGTTTTGTCTTACTGGATTGTAGTAATACTCCAGCACATGTCTGCCATTGTGGACATGTTTAACATCATTTATATGCTCACATACTTTTACATTCCCTCCTCATATTTGCCCCTAAACTGTGGTTATAAATGTGTAGGACGATTTCATGATGTATTATTTTTGCCTGTTGTATTTTCTTTGTTTGCTTCCTATACTGTTGTCCAGTTCATGCACTGCATGTAGGGGAGTGCTCTCCATTACTTGCTGAAATATGATATGGCTATATTATAAGATATCCTGATATTAGGTATGTTTAGAAAAGAAACACTACTGTATACAGTTTTGTTATATAGAGAATACTTGAGAACCTATTGCATTCTTCTTACTGTGTAAAAACAATGAGCTTTGGAAAAGATCATGGTTGATTGGTTGCTAGTTTATTGTAGGTGGAGTCCCAGGAAAACTGGCAGTGTCTCTATCCCAATCTCCCCCCAGATGGTGCTCTCCATATCTGTTGAACTATGATCCCCAGAATTCTCAGTTATATCTGGTGGGCACCCCATTGGGAAAGGTTGTTGTATCTATTTAGCATCTTATCCTTTGTCTGTCTGTCTGTCCGTCCGTCCACCTCACAAAATAAATCAGGAAGATCTGATAACAATACAGAACCAATTTCAGGAAAAGATCCTTTTCTATTGAGGATATTATCTGACTGAAAATCAAGGAATATGTCAAGGAATACTGTGGATTCCTTGCTGAGCAGCTGTACAATGCAAAGTGGGGGGGGGAGGGAGGGAGGCACAACCACCAGCAGCCAATATGATTATGGTGGCAGCTTCCTGCAACATGAGAACATACCTTCCATTCGCTGCTTCCACGAGACTGACCATCTTCAGTGAGGTTAAATACGGGCAGAGTGCCTGTTACCACCAAACCCAGGCCCTAAAAAAGTTAAAAAACCAACAAAGTATAATTAAAATAAGGCATTATCTGTAAGATATTAATTGGCCAATTCAGAATTATAATAGCATCTCTAATTCATAATATTGAAGAGTGGAGCAGTTAGACTTCGATCCTGAAGAAAACTGGGAGAAGAAACCATCCTGAGATTGACAGATTTGGGAATCGGAAGGGTGATGGGACACTTAATACATTTATCTAATTTGAACCATGTTACAACATATGAACCACCTCAGCAAAAGAAAATGAAATGGCTGGTTGCAAGATTTCATAAAGCGGTTTTTCTTACCAAAGCATCCTGATAGACGTTGGTCCACTGAACCTGCTTTGCTTTGTTCCCTGCCAAGACCATGGGCCTTCCTAGGACATTGAGGTATTCCTGCAGGAAACAGAGGAGACTAAAACAACAATACGTGGCATGCATTCATCCAGAAACATGAAATATAGCAGTGTGCGTATATCATAGCATTATTCGTAGAGCAAACCTACACCATGTGAGTTAAGCGTCTTTGAGGATTTATTCCTTGGGCAATTCTTAGCAGCTTTCACACTGAGAAAAAGCAGGCTCCCAAAATGCCCAAAGCCATTTTTCTCCAACCTGAAGCAGTGCAGATGTGTTGGACAATAACTTGAATACACTTTTATCAGCTGGAAAATATAAATACTGCAGTCACTGAAGACACTTGTTGAGGAAGGCTGCCTAAGATAATGTTTATTCTGTCAATCTCAGTTTCACTGAGTTGTTTAATGTTCATCTCTAACTCCTAGCTCAATTTAATCTGGTTATCACTAAACTTGGAAGTGTGGACTCTTTCAGCTCATCTCCAGCAGAGTCTATAAACTTGTAGCTTCAAATGTTTCTTCTGCATCAGGTCCAAATCAAGCTGTATCTGTACTGAAACTGCTTGGACAACATCATAAAGCTAGTGCCAATTATATAAGTTCTGCCTCTAAGTTATATCATTGTGATTTATATGGGGTATGCTTTTTGTCTTGGGTTTAAAAAATATAGCTACAGGCTTCCACTAAAAATATTTTAAGACTAATGACATACAATATTTACCCACTTTGATTACCTTTAAACATAATTCGAAAACTTATTTTTGGAAGCTGAAGCTCATTTAAGTTTGTACCAGGCTATTTTTAATTGTGATATAATATAGTTTTGTTTTGTTTTTTATTATCCACTGTTATGTACTGCTGTAGGCTGACTTTGCTGGGGAGGACACAGGTAGCAGTTTGAAAAACGAACAAATAGTAAGCTAATCTATTTCAATCCACGTATTGGAGAGGATAAGCATTAATATGAAAAACCAGTTTGAAAGGTATGCGATCAAGAATCTATTTTTTTTTCCCCCATAAAGGGTCTCTGCATGGAAATAATATGGGTTTTTCTATTGAAAATAAAAGCTGGGGAGAGATATGGAATATAGAATGGTTAACATCAGCAACACATTAAAAATGCAATACAAAGAGTGCTATCTAGAGATGAGGTTGGATCTTATTAATTCATTTATTTACTGCCGAGTGGCTGTGAGGAAATATGTCTTTGGTATCACATGGGCTAAGATTATCCCAAAATCTTGGACAAAAACATTCAGAATTATCCCAGACATAAAAACGTAACTGTGATGGAATGGACTTATGAAGGCCAGGCTCAGGGAGATAATAAGCATGTTCTTAGCCCCCAGCAGGAGCATGGGGGCAAGTTCAAGAAGATGAGGCTGGCACCTCCCTAAGGAATTCACGGTGTTGTGGCTGGCTGGCTTGGGAATTAGGGGTCCGGCTGGGGAGATTTTCTGTCTGGTTGTAGCTAATAAAAGCAACAGAACTGTATTTGCATTGTCTCTTGGAGTTCT